TGGTAAGGAAGGGAGTCGACCTCCACTTCCGACCACTTGAGCGGCCAGTCCTGTAACATCCTGCCCTCTTGATGATAAGAGCGGCCTTCCCGGTTAAAATAGATCGGAGCAGGTGGCCTCAGGCTGGATTGTCATCTACAGACCTTCTAGGAAATTGATGGTGCCCAAGACTCAAAACCATTCCTCTTAACCCAAACTTTCCAGCTTTGCAGACCGGGGGGGTGGGGGGGGAGAGGAAATGGTTGTGTGTGAGGGGCAGACACGCATGCACGCTCGCAGCTCCATCTGCACGAGTGGGTGGCACTCGCGTGCGTGTGTGTGAAGCTCTATTTGTGCAAGTGCCTGCCGTTTGTGCAAATGGAGCTGCGAGCGCTCCCCTGCTGCTTGTGCGGCCCGGTTCCGAATGGGCCGCGGCCCGGGGATTGGGGACCCCTCGCTCTATTTAACACGTGGATACTTTCTCCCGGGATCGTAGGAAGAAGATTAACGCTGTAGACTTGAACGTGTTCATCTGAACATGGTTTGAAGACAAGGGATACTGTGACCCACGGTGTCTGGAGGAAGCTAACAGCTGATGGCACCAAAACAAGCTGGCACGCCAGCAGCGTCCGTGCCCAGAGATGGATTCCCAAGGGATCCAATGCTCCTCCTGCTCTGCCCCAAACAGGTCAGACAAGGCCACCCATTCGAATGATCTCTTTATTCCTCAGAACAAACTCAACTGTACAATCAGCACTGATTCTTAGTGGAACGAAAACATGGTTCAAGTCATCAAGTTTTAATACTTAATATATGTTGTTAGCTTCAGCAGGTATTAACCCCAAGTTATTTCTTCTTTTATAGAAGGATACAAAAATCTATATATATATATAAAAAAAATCAAACGATAGCAAAAAACCCCAAGATTATAATTAAAAAAGCACAGATTGTATAAAATAAATCTTAATTACTATGGAAACCTTTTTTTGTTTTGTTTTTTTTAAGACATTGTTAAAAAGAAAGCACTTAATTTCTCCGACAGACATTCCCATCTGGATGGTTCTGGTTTCTGACGTCACACAAGGGAATACCCTCTCTTTGAAGTTGACACAATAGCTATTATCTACAAGAAGGGCGTGGGAATCCAGGTTGGGGAAATTGATTCTTTATACAAATAAATACAAGATCACCCAAATTGCATAGTGTGTGCGCTTACTGTCCCAAATCGCAATTCCAAAGTTTTTTCACAGTTTAAAAGACCAAAAGGGGCACGTGAAACATTTAACCTCGGGGTGTCCAACTCTTGGCAACTTTTAAGACTTGTGGACTTTCAACTCCCAGAATTCCCCAGCCAGCATGGCTGGCTGGGGAATTCTGGGAATTGAAGTCCACAAGTCTTAAAGTTGACAAGATTGGATACCTTTGGTCTAGCCAATGACACCATTCCATCAAATACTCTGCTAATCCCTCAGCTAAGAGAGGTCTACTTGAGCAACAACACACAACATACGCAAGACAATTGTAGCCAGCCACACCGGAGCCACCAAACACCAAAAACTGAGCATCTTGCACCGCTCCGAATCCAGTTTCAAGGGGACTTGGGGACCTGTCTGCTCCGGAAGGACGACCTTCTTCACGGTTCAAACGAGAGAAATATTCTACCTGTCCCACTGGATGCTTCTATGGACTAGAGCAGTATTTCCAAGACGTGGCTACTTCCAGGTATATGGACTTCCACCCCCGTCCCCCCAGAATTCTTATCAATGGTCACGCTGGCTGTGGAATTCTGGGAATTGAAGTTCACACCCCTGGAAATGGGCCAGGTTGGGAAACGCCTGCTCTCGAGAGCCACAGCTGGATTTTGCAAATGACCCAGGAAGCAGCAAGCAAGCAAGCCGTTTTGCTGGGCCTGCCAAGACCCCCATCCAGGCCAACGGCAGTCTTCATGCGCCCGAGGACCCCAAGCTGGACTTCCCCTCCCCTCTTCCCTTTCAGACCCCCTTCCCCAATTGTGCTACTATTCCCCTGCGAAAGAATGCCGTGATTAGTTAGTTGACATGACACCCCATACACTAAACCCAATGCCAGGTGCCCGTGGTAGAAGAACACTGGAAGACCCCTGATCTAGCTCACGCCCAGATCCTACCCTCCATCCAGAAATGTCTCACTATTCACACGACATTGATTGATGCTTTGGGGGGATGGGAAGAGGTCTGATCGTGAAGGGGCCCACGCAAAAACCTACGAGATTCTTCTTCATCCGCAGGAATTAAGTCTCATGTTCTAGAGAACAGGGGTCCCCAAACTCGGCCACTTTTAAGACGCGTAGACTTCAACTCCCACAACACCTCGGCCTTGTTGGCCGGGGAAATTCTGGGAGTTGGAAGTCCCCAAGTCTTAAAAGTAGCCAAGAGCCACTTTAAGGCTTGTGGACTTCCAAGTCCCACAATTCACTAGCCAGTCGTGATGGGCTGGGGAATTCTGGGAGTTGGAAGTCCCCAAGTCTTAAAAGTGGCCAAGAGCCACTTTAAGGCTTGTGGACTTCCAAGTCCCACAAGTCACTAGCCAGTCGTGACGGGCTGGGGAATTCTGGAAGCTGGAAGTCCCCAAGTTTGGAGAGCCTTGCTCTAGAACCTGAATGGACTCCAGAAGGAGAATCACCGCCCCTTTTTGATGGGTCCCTCATTCCCGGGATGGCGTCTTTAATTTTGCTCCTGGAGAGGGAAGCCAAGGTAGACAACTCTACACTCAGCAGAGGTGACTGGAGCCAGGCCGTGCTCACCGATACCGCCTTCCTCTCAACACGGACCCCCCCCCCCCCGCCTTCTGGAAGGGCTTGGATATGAGGTGTGGAAGTACAGTCGGGGAGAAGGATGCACAGAAGAGATTCTGGCTAGATTCAAAGAAAAATATAGTTATGGCTCAGATCCTATGGCTCAAGGAGAGAAGCAAAACAAAGCACCACAAAAAAATCCTCTTTCTAAGAAGCCACGGTTGCAGACCAGGTTGAACAAGCAGGGGGGGGGGAAACACAAGCAACAGGATGCACACCCTGTCCCAACAAGTCACGCTCACCCACACTCTAGAGCAGGGGTAGGCAACCTTGGCTCTTTTATGACTCGTGGACTTCAACTCCCAGAATTCCTGAGCCAGCATGGCTCAGCATGGAAACCTCTCCATTTCTCCTCAACATGGCTGGCTCAGGAATTCTGGGAGTTGAAGTCCACGAGTCATAAAAGAGCCCAGGTTGCCTACCCCTGGTCTAGAGCAAAGCTCTGTGGACCAAAATTAACCCTTTCACCAGCTGTAGCCATGGAAATGCTTTCTTTAAGGCAGATATTTTAAGTTAAGGTAAAGTTACCTTTATTTCACTCTACACCCTGTTAAGAGTATAGCCATCTGTATACAGGCTTTCCTGTTTTCTTCAGTAACAATCGCAGAAACATAAATAGTAAATCCTCTAAACGTTTCCTAAAATTAAATTGCAAAAGTTTCTCTGGAAGACATTCGTCGAAGGCCATCGTAATACTTGTGTGTGTGTGTGTGTGTGTGTGTTTCCTCAATACAATCAACGGATGGCTTGCCCCAGCAGACAAGTTTACATGGTCATCCATCGCAGAGATGCGCAATGGAACAAATACCGGGTAAAAAATAATCTCATCTGAGCGTTACAAATTGGCTGCAACACCAACAAAAATGTGCAGGTTTTTTTTCCCTTTTAAATGATAGCCATCTGCTAAAACTTTTGCCCCTTTTGCGATAGGTTTAAGCCTTCCTTGGCAGGTGCCAGGGTCTCGGGCAAACGACATAACCACGATACAACAGAGATGAAGTTTCTGCCAGTCCAAATTTCTGTTCAGACTGATGAGAATGTAGGACAAGACACCTGGAATTCAACACAGCCACGAACTCCAGACCAGCAGGGCAAAACTGAACTTGGGGGGTGGGGGGGGAAACAACTTCAGATTAAAACACGGGACTTCCGCACTAGCCAAGGTTTTAACGTAGCCAACGGCCTGATGGGGATCTTTTTTTAAAACGAAACAAGACAAGACAAAACCAAAACAAAACAAAAAAGCATTTAAACAAGATGAAGAGGGTAAAAACTCTTACCCTACCAATCTTGGCAACATAATTAACAGTGATTTATTATTATTATTATTATCATTATTATTATTTTTACAAAAAACCATTATTTCAAATATAATAAGAAAAGTTAAGCCTGCTAGCTTGTTCTCTCTCTTTGCTGCGGGAGATCAATAATTCCGTAAATGTTCCAACTGTGGGATTATTATTATTTTTTTCATAATGAGCCCCTTCTAAAAGGGGAGGACAAAAAAAAACTAGTTGAAAAATATAGAGATTTATATATATATATGCATATATAATTTTCTTTTAAAAAAAGATTTGTTTTAGATTGTTTTTTTTGTTTTTTTTTTGCACGTGGAATCCTAAATGGCTGAGTTAAGCCTCAGACCTCCGATAATTCTTAAAATTGCAGGAAGCCACCTGGAGGAACTTGGTAAGATTAAATGCTCAGGTAGAAAAAGGCCCAGGTTGGCATTCTGCATTTTTGCCCATTGGCATGGACTTTCCCAGGGGGCACAATCATGCAGGAGAACCAGTCTACTCTCCATCCTGTTAGCTTCAAGCGATTGACCTGGAGAAAAAAAAATTTATCTTTGATAGAGCCGAAAAGATGCCACGCTGCGTTATCGGTTAGCTGCTGTGCCTAAGTTGTATAATACCATATATATATATATATATATTTTTTGCTTACGTCCTGTCTTTATGCACCATTGATTCAAAGGAGGGAATGAGGAGGTGGGGAAAAAAGAGAAAGGGGGGAGGCAGGGGGAATCCATTTTTTTCCCATTCTTCTTTTCCAGTCCATTATTCTGTGCAACGACTAACTTGATACCGTCGCTGAAGGGGGGGGGGGGAAGGAAGAAAAAAAAAAGCCACGAGAGGTCTCGTATTTTGGCAGCAGGAGGGCTGTGTGAGGCACGGCTGCCCTTGCAGACAGCTGTCCTTGGTCTTCTGCTGTCGCTCAAGCGGGTTCAGGGGGAGGACTGCGGCCACAGGTGATGTCATAGATTCATGCGCAAGTGCTCTGGCCGTTTGGAAATGATGGGGAAGGCTTGCTTTTTGTACGGCCCGGTGTTGGGCTGCCGGATGGGAAGCGGAGCTGAGGCTTCTCCGCAGACTGTTACATCCATCTGTTCGATCCCACCTGTCTCCATGGGGTAGTCCACGGGCAGCTGAGGATTGGCCACGCCGGAGGAACCGCCTCGTCCCCAGAAGTCCCCTGGAGAGAACTTGACAGGGCTTTGGAAGAGAAGAAGCAGCCATTAAAAAGGTTTTTTTTAAATCAAAAAATATAGTTTTTTCTATCTATCTATCTATCTATCTATCTATCTATCTATCTATCTATCTATCTATCTATCTATCTATCTATCTATCTATCTAATCTATATATCTATCTATCATCTAATCAATCATCTATATCTATTTGTTTATCAATCTATCAATCTATATCAATCAATCATCTATATATATCAATCATCTATATCTATCTATCTATCTATCTATCTCAATCAATCATCTATATCTGTTTATCTATCATCTATATCAATCATCTATATCTGTTTATCCATCTATATCAATCAATCAATCATTTATATCTGTTTGTTTATCATCTATCAATCTATCTATATCAATCATCTATGTCTATCTATCCATATTAATCAATCATATCTATCTATCTATCTATCTATCTATCTATCTATCTGTCTGTCTGTCTGTCTGTCTGTCTGTCTGTCTGTCTGTCTGTCTGTCTGTCTGTCTGTCTGTCTGTCTGTCTGTCTGTCTATCATCTATCTGTATCTTGTAGACTTCAACTTCCATTCTGGGAGTTGAGGTCCACAAGTCTTTAACGTTGCCAAGGCCCATATGCTAAGCCAAGCATTTTAGAGGCAAAAGGTCAAATCATTTTGTACATAAGCTCAATAGTTGCGTCTACACTGCAACTTAAGCCAAAATGTGCCGACTACCATGTTTCCCCAAAAATAAAACCTGGTCTTATTTATTTATTTTGCCTCCAAAAGAGACACCAGGTCCTATTTTCGAGCGGTGTGTGTGTGTCTTTTCCACTCACCTCGCCAAGGCAGCACTGACAGCCCTGCCCACCCGGCCCACTTCTTCTGTGGCTGAAGGAAATGCCTCTGCAGCCGAGAACAGAGCTACGGATTGAATCCATAGCTCGGCTCTCGGCTGCACAGGCCTTCCAGAAAGGCTTCCAACTACAATGAAAGCCGGAACTCCATTCTCAGCTGTAGAATGATGCTTTTACTTCAGCTGCAGAAGAAGCGGGCTGGTGAGGCATCAACCCATAGGAGGCCTGGCTGCAATGGTAAGCTCCACCCCCACCTCCGCTTGATTTTCTAGGCCTGCGCCTCGCCCCAAAAGTAGGGCTTATTATCGGGGTAGGTCTTACTTTCAGGGAAACACGGTATGTGTAACTTAACGGCGAGGCCAGCGATTCAGATGTTCTGCGCTTACTTGCATGCCCCCATTTTCCAACCTGGAGATTGCGAGAAGAATGGCTTTCTACCCTCTACTGACTTATTGCCATTTTACGGTACTGAGAGGATTGTGTGGAATCCTGTTTGCAAATCTTGGGATGAAAACCCAACATTCAACACACAACCAAGATTCTGAAGCTTTTATGAGGAGCGCACCCGTGCTACCACACACACAAAACACCCAGCAATGGGAAGAGGCAAATACCTGATGGGGGTCCGAGGACTGCCGATGAATCGGCGAGGTGACCGAATTTTTGGTTCAAAGGAAAACTTCTCTTTTACGCTTTCAAGTACGGATGGAGCCACATACGTGAAACCCTGCAAAGGGGAGGGGAGAAACAAGGGTGGCCAGCGACCATCCCACCAAAGAGAGTTCCAATGAGGAGACTGCATTGTGACGAAACCAAAACAAGCCATGAATGAACCAACCCCATCAACTTTGCAGTGAGAACCAACATACAGGTGTGAGCACCCAAGATTGCCCAGCTCAGGCTGATATGTTGGGCCAGCTCTGGAGAGGACACTTCTTCCCTGCCGGTTGCCTTCGGACTTCCCTTATATCCAAACCACACTACAGAAAAATATCTTATCATCTTATCTTATCTTATCATGATAGCAGTGTTCCAGTATCTCAGGGGCTGCCCCAAAGAAGAGGGAGTCAAGCTATTTTCCAAAGCGCCTGAAGGCAGGACAAGAAGCAACGGATGGAAAATGATCAAGGAAGAAGCAACTTAGAGCTAAGGAGAAACTTCCTGATAGTTAGAACAATTAACCAGTGGAACCACCTGCCTCCAGAAGCGCTGAATGCTCCAACACTGGAAGTCTTTAAGAAGAGACTGGACAGCCATTTGTCCGAAATGGTATAGGGTTTCCTGCCTGAGCAGGGGATTGGACTAGATGACCTCCAAGGTCCCTTCCAACTTTATCATCATCATCATCATCATCATCATCATCATCATCATCATCATTATTATTATTATATTTAAAAAATATATATAGTGTCCACTTATTAACTTGGAAACTGGAATCCAGATCACTGTCTCTTTTCCAAGACATGCCATTTGGTCTCTCCAGCGGCAAAGAGTGCACTTTCCCACTGAGCTGTCGCTTGTTCCCACCATCTGTGAAACAAGACCTTGTATCCTTACTGTCTTTACCAGGGTAGCAATAGCAACAGCCCTTAAGACTGATATACCGCTCCACGGCGCTTTTAACAGCCCTCTCTAAGCGGTTTGAAGAGTCAGCATATTTGCCCGAACAATCCAGGTCCTCATTTTACCGACCTCAGAAGGACGGAAGGCTGAGTCAACCTTGAGCTGGTCAGGATTGAACTTCCTGGCAGTGGGCAGAATCTGCCTGCAATACCGCATTTTAACCACTGCGCCACCATGGCAAGGGAGGAAGGAAGGAAGGAAGGAAGGAAGGAAGGGAAGGAAGGAAGGAGAAAAGGGAGGGAGAGGAAGAAGGAAGGAATAACAATAGCATTTAGACTTATATACCACTTCACAGTGCTTCATAGCCTTCTCTAAGCGGTTTACAGAGTCAGCCTATGGCTCCCAACAATCCGGGTCCTCATTTTACCGACCTCAGAAGGACAGAAGGCTGAGTCAACCTTGAGCTGGTCAGGATCAAACTTCCTGGCAGTGGGCAGAATCTGCCTGCAATACTGCATTTTAACCACTGCGCCACCATGGCAAGGAAGGAAGGAAGGAAGGAAGGAAGGAAGGAAATGCTGCTTCACAGTGCTTTTACAGCCCTCTCTAAGCGGTTTGCAGAGTCAGCACCTTGCCCCCCAACAATCTGGGTCCTCATTTTACCGACTTTGGAAGGATGGAAGGCTGAGTCAACCTTGAGCTGGTGAGAATTGAACCCCTGGCAGTCAGCAAAATTAGCCTGCAGTACTGCATTCTAGCCACTGCACCACCACGGCTCCTAGTAGTAGTAGGTAGTCCTCAACCTATGAGTATTCGTTTGGCAACCATTTGAAATTACAATGGTGCTGAAAAATGGACTTGCTTTGCCTGAAGGAAAACCTGTTGCAGGGCCTTGGGGTCAGGTGACTAAAATTGAGATGCTTAGCATCCGTACTGCAACTCCACCCACCTACCCATCTCTTCCCTGATTTATATCGACGAGTGCTACTGTGCAGGGCAGCCAAAAGCTATGTCAGGATTCATCCTCAAATGGCCGAAGGGTGCTTTTTCCAAAAGTCAACTGGACTTCCTTGGGTTTTGTTTTGTTTTTTTTTCCCCTTGAAAACATTTCACTTCTCATCCCAGAAGTTTCTTCAGTTTGAAAAAGAATCTTCTTGGATGAAAAAGCGAAACATTTTTAAGGGGGAAAAAATCCCCCCAAGAAAGTCCAGTTTGGGGAAAAAAGCCCCTTTGGGACAACCATGACCTGGAGGATGGAGAATCTCCGCAGATACCCATCCCCAAGCTTACTTACCAAGAAAACCTGGTTGGCACTTTCGCTGAGGGTCGAGTCGTCCGGGCTATCGACGGGAGTCTGACGTGTAAATTTTGCATCGAATTGGCTCACGTCTTCTTCGGATTGCTTTGCAAAAAAAAAAACAAAAGTTGAGGAAGGTTTTTGTTTTGTTTTTTTAAATAGTTTTAACAGATAATCACAACAGCCTTAGTGGAAGACAAAGCTTCTGGACGGAGGGAGCGTTCCGCAGATGTACCACTTGGAAGCCTGCTGGAGTGCTGCTGCCGCCACTGGAGGGTCCCGTTTTGGACAACTAGGCTGAGAAACGAAGGCAAGGGAAAGGGGGGGGAAGGGAGTCACGGATCAAAGAAAAGGAGGATTGAGGAGAGATGCCTTCAAAGGCAAGACGCAAACGGAGTCCTCCCCTCCCAAGCACCACCACCAATTGTGGAAGTCAGAGCCCCCCAGAGAAGGAAATATTAAAAGGGCAGAAAAATATATTTTTCCTCAAAAGGATTTTTAAAAGCCAGCCCCCAAGTCTCTCTCTTTGCCCCAAGCAGGAGCCAGCCCTATACAAATGCAACTGTAAAATCATCAGAAAGCTGGAGCCAGAAGACAAAGACCTAAAATCAGCATATCCCACCTGAGATGGGACATAATAGGACTAACCCCATTGCCATCAAGTATACCAGAGAGTCACACCTAGATTCAGGTCAGAATACGTGACACAGGAAATAACCTCAAAGTTCATGCCACAGGAACAGGAAATTATTCCAAACAAAAGGCTAGAGAGGATATAAAAACCTACTGCCCATGTGCTCAGGTCCTTTTTTCCCCTCCGGTCTAGCCTGCAAGAACCATCTTCCTGCCTCTTCAATAAACGGTAACCATCTTCCCAAAGCAGTCACCATGTTGCTTATTTTTTCCCGGCTTGGATGAACCAGGATGAAGACTTTACTTCCAACAATTTGGCGACCCAGATGGGACTCGAACCCACAATCCCCAACTTCTGGGCTCTTGTGAAGTCTGAACTGCTGTAATTATACAGGAAAATACATACAGGCAAATCCTCGACTTATCACCCAAATTTGTGACTCAGCAGTTCAGTTCTTGCTTATGCAGGCCGTCCTCCACAACTAGGACCCAATTTTTTCACTGCTAAGCAAGGCGGCTGCTAAGTGAATCGTACCCAGTTTTATGACCTTTCTGGGCAACCAGTCGACTCTTTGCACCATGACTTAATTTTGTTACGTTTTACAAGCTCACTAAGTGAAAGAACAAAAAAAAACCAACCAACTGGATAGCGATCACATAAAACACTGACAAATGTCCTCCTCTCAGCTTCAATACATGGCATCGATAACTGAATCCCACTGTGATCTGATTGGCTCATTGCCAAAACGAGACAACACTGATTGGCTCTCTAAACACTCGTGCTCATTGGCTACAATCAGATGAAGGAAAGCTACCTGAGATCAACCTAAGCAAGTTGTGCTTCCTTTTTCTGGTTATTTGGCTATAACTTTTCATAGAATACAGTACAGATAATTGAACAAACTTTGCTGCATTACGTTCTTGATTAAATTATCTTTCCATTGATATATAATTTTATGGTACTACTCCCCCCAAAAAAAGTGGTGTTATTAGCCATCAAACCTAAAAAATACACTTTTCCCAAAAGGTTTCCACAATTCTGGCCACTACTGTACTGTACTTTTGATATAATTTATCGCTTTCCCAATTCTGGGTGCTTTCAGCTGAATGTGGCTGCAACTCCAGAGTTCCTAGCTAATAGGATGGAAGAATTCAGCAGGTTGCAATTCCAACACACCTGGAAAATGCCACGATGAAGACAACTATATAGGGAGTCCTTGACTTACGACCACAATGGAGCCCAAAATTTCTGCGCTAAGTGAGACCGTTAAGTGTTTTGCTCCATTTGACAAACTTTCTTGCCACAAATTGTTAAGTGCATCACCGCAGTTGTTACGTTAGTAACGTGTTTCTTAGGTGAATCTGGCTTCCCCATTGATTTTGATTGTCAGGTCGCAAAAGGGGGATCAAGTGACCCCAGGACGCTGCAACTGTCGTTAAGTAGGAGTCAGTTGCCAAGCGGCCAAATTTTGATCATGTGACTGTGGGGATGCTGCAACAGTCGTAAGTGTGAGAAACGAACGTAAATCTTTTTCAGGGCCGTTTGATTTTAAACCATCACTAAATGGATAGTCGTAAGTCGAGGACTATCTGTACTGGCCAGATGCTTCTCTGAGCTCCAGTTTATGGAAATGGCTCAATTATCCATTTTGTAACCCAATGGTTTATGGCAGTGATGGCGAACCTTTTAGAGACCGAGTGCCCAAACTGCAACCCAAAACCCACTTATTTATCACCAGGTGCCAGGTGGACGTGGCCCACTGGGTGGGCGTGGCTGTGGTGGTCATGGCAGGCTGGGTGGGTGTGGCCAAGGTGGGCGTGGTCACCTCGATGTTGCTCGTGGGGAGGGATGCCTGTGGGGGTTGGGCAGGGTTGGGGGAGATCCAGGGGGTCTCTGGCAGGTGGGGCGGTGGGCAGGAGGCTCGTCCTATGGGGTGAGGCAAGGCAAGGCAAGGGAGGGTGGGGGTGCCATTGTCGCAGGGCAAGGCGAGGTAGGGGCCGGGGCGGCTGCTGCCTGACACCATCGGCCCCTGCACATAGAGGCCAGCGAGCGCATGGGGGCCGACAGTGTCCATCAGCAGCCACAGCCTGCCGGCCCGTCGACCAGCACACTCTGGGGCTCCGCAGCCTGGCACCAGCAGTTCAGAGAAGCCGCCTCTGAGCTGGACGGATGGCCGACAGCTGAGGAGGCGATGCAGTGGGTCGTGCCCGGGAAAAGGAGAGCATGTGAGGCCAGGAGGGATGGGAGGGGGGGAAGGGAAACCAGCCATGCTGGGATGCATCCAGCCACGTGGGACCTCGGCGAGTTAGCAGGCAGCTGGTTGAAGAGGGACAGTTGCCATCTCCAGGGCATGGTCCATGTGCCCACAGAGAGGGCTCTGAGTGCCGCCCCTGGCACGCGTGCCATAGGTTCGCCACCGCTGGTTTATGGCAAGCCCAGTCTTTGGGTAGCAGCAACGAATTTTTGCCTTCCTCTGAAGTGCAACAGCCACCTTAAAATTGGGGGATGCATTTGAGCCCGAATTTAAAACTGAGGAAGACTCAGAGGTGAATTCCATTGTGAAGGAAGTGGGACACAGCTCTGTATATTGGAAAGACGGGGCCATAAAACCTGCCTGGGTTGGGAATGGCGCACCCTGATCCCCAAATTTGGCTTATCTGGCTGGTTGTGCCTCAAGATCCCAAGCATGTATCCAAATGACATACCAATAAGGGTTTAAAAGGTGGTTCCACCTTCCGAGCTAGCAGTTCTTCCCAACTGATATGTCTGAAGAAGGGATGACCCTTAAAAAACAAACAAACAGTGGTTATTAATCAGTGCCCAATCAAAGAGAGCAGAACATGCCAAATGACCGGTGCTTGGTTTTGACTAGAATATAAACTGAAACACACAAGTCTACAGCACTCCTTCAGAAGAGGAACTGGGCAAAGCTATAGTTGTTCCGTTAGATGAACTAAGGCAATGTCTCTTAACCTTGACAACCCCTTTCAGATATGTGGACTTCAACTCTCAGAATTTCCCAGCCAGCCATATTGGCTGAGGAATCCTGGGAGTTGAAGTCCACAATCTGAAAGGGGTTGCCGAAGTTGAGAGATATTGATCTAAGACAGGGGGCTTCAAACTTGGCCCTTTTATGACTTGTGGACTTCAACTCCCAGAAGTCCACAAGTCATAAAAGGGCCAAGTTTGAAGACCCCTGACCTAAGATATTGCTTCAGAGGTGATAGGACAGTGATGTTGAACTTGTGACACAACTGTCAAAAGGTGACATGTCATGACGTTTTAGTTGACACGCTAGTGTTCACCAACACATTTGACATTTGTACCCAGACTAGTTGGCATCCTTTCCACCCCCTCCCCAACCATTCCCCTTGTCCAAGAAAAGGCAAGAGGGTAGAGCAAACGGCTCCATGGCTTCCCAATTTTTTAAAAAATGTTATATCAGTTTGAGTTGCAAAGCAGACTAACTTTACACCTCCCTGAAAGTGTACTCATACTGCTTGCTTAGATCCAAGACATTCAAGATCATGAAGCAAACCTTTTCTGAAAATTATTTTACTGGTCAGAGGAGAAGGGAGGACGTTTTCCCACAAAATGGCGTACCTGAACTTCTCCAGTGTCTCCGGGACCAGCTCCTAGACGTGAGGCAGCATTTCTCTTTAGCAGCTGAAGAGAGGAAAGAGAGGTTTAAAACCAAATGGACTTTCTTTTAGGAAAAAAGTTATTTTATAGCTGTCAGATCTGCCCCAACTTGGTCCTTTAAGCAAAAAAGACCCTCAACGCCAGGTGTTGTGAAAGGTAGACTTTACTAAAGGCCAACTGGATTACAGTACTGCATCCAGTTTTGGTCACCATGTTGTAGAAAAGATGTTGAGATTCTAGAATGAGTGCAGAGAAGAGCAACAGAGATGATCAGGGGACTGGAGGCTAAAACATATAAGGAACGGTTGCTGGAATTGGGAATGTTTAGTTTAATGAAGAGAAGGACGAGGAGGGACATGATAGCAGTGTCCCAGTATCTCAGGGGCTGCCCCAAAGAAGAGGGAGTCAAGCTATTCTCCAAAGCACCTGAAGGCAGGATAAGAAGCAATGGATGGAAACTGATCAAGGAGAGAAGCAACCTAGAACTAAGGAGAGATTTCCTGACAGTGAGAACAATTAACCAGTGGAACAACCTGCCTCCAGAAGCGGTGAATGCTCCAACATTGGAAGTTTTTAAGAAGAGACTGGACAGCCATTTGTCTGAAATGGTATAGAGTTTCCTGCCTGAGAAGGGGGTTGGACTAGATGACCTCCAAGGTCCTATCCAACATCATCATCATCATCTTATTATTATTATTATTAGTAGTAGTAATAATATAGCAAAGCGAGAACTGAGGTTTGCGTGCCAAATACCATCAAACATCCGCATCTGCCTATCCCAAGTCCTTGGGAAGGACTCGATGGGTAAGCAAAAATGCCGAATCCAGTCTGAATATCTGGCTGACTGTGCGATGATGATGATGATTATTATTATTATTATTATTAATAATAATAATAATAATAATAGAGTTGGAAGGACCTTGGAGGTCATCTAGTCCAACCCCCTGCTCAGGCAGGAAACCCTATACCATTTCAGACAAATGGCTGTCCAGTCTCTTCTAAAAAACTTCCAGTGAAGTTTTGATCATTTGAGCACAAGGATGCTGCAATGGACATAAGAGGAGGACCAGTCATAAGTCACTTTTTTCAGTGCCATTATAACTTGGGTTGCTAAATGAATGGATGTAGGTTGAGGATTACCTGGATTGAAACATTTTGGACAAATGTCCACCTGACTCAGCAAATAATTTCCAGGTTTGTATTTACCAAGATCGCCAACTGTGATATGAACAAATGCTAGAGACATTTTGTTTTTGTTTTTTTAAAGGCTTAATGAAAATTTAGTAGTTATTAATTGGGAAAACACTTTTTGCTTACCATTCAGATCCAAGAACAATTCAGGTGAAATAACTTTTGGTTCACTCCAAACTCATGCAGATAGTTCTCGACCTACAACCGTTCATTTAGCAACTGTTCGAAGTTATAATGGCACGGGAAAAAAGTGACTTAACGACCGTTCTTCACACTTACAACCCTTTCCGCATCCCTGCGGTCACGTGATCAACGTTTGTAACTTTCCCAGAAAGCTTCTGACAAGCAAAGTCAATGGGGGAAGCCAGGTTTGCGTTAACAGCGGCAGTGATTCACTTAATAACCATGGCCAAAAAGGCCGTAAAATCGGGCCACTACTCATTTGACGGCCATATTGCTTAACCAACAGAAAATTTGGCTTTAATTCTAGTCGTAAGTCGAGGACTGCCTGTAACTTAGCTACAGAAAAGTTGCAAATTTGAAAAACGGCCCTGAATTTATACTTGAGCCGATCTCTGGGATGACCCCGGTAAGAGTCTCACCTTTTTAAGCAGATCTCTGGCTTCTTGTGTGAGGTAGGGAGGCAAGTTCAGTTTACACTTGAGGATCTTGTCAATCGTTTTCTTCCGGTTCTCCCCAGTAAAAGGGGGCTGAAAAAGAGAGAGGAGGAAGGAGAAGCCGTGAGAAAAGTGCACCACATAAGGTGATGTCCACAACATTCTGCTTGTACTTCCTGGCTTTTACATAGGCCTGTAAAAACTGATTTCCAAGCCTGGCTATTATAAAGAGGGTTTGATCTACAACCCTGGCTGTCTAAGAAGTCAAAATAGTGTGGATGAGTGTCTCCTAGGTCCGTGGTGGCGAACCTGTGGCACGGGTGCCAGAGGCGGCACTCAGAGCCGTCCCTGTGGGCACGTGCGCCATCGACCCCAGTCCTAGGCCTTCAGCTGGGTTTTATAAAACCTTTTTCCTTTAGGCCTCTGCCACCGTATGCAAAAAAAAAAAAAAAGGTTCAATCAATCAATCAATTTCAACTTCTCGCGGGGAAAAAAAAGATCTCGCAAAGTTGGAATTGATTGATTGAACTTTTTAGTCCCACCC